TGGGGACATACTTAACTTATTTATTTGACTGCAGTTTACGTTAACTACATTTTTATACAACACACTCAACTAGATTGTTAACAATTATTTAACTACAAAACGTATAGTTCAAAATATTGTGGCTTATACACTACCTTGGCGCTGCTGCTGCCTTTTGATCCTTCTCTTAGCACTACCAAAAAATAATAAAATTCATATTTTGCCGGAATTGGTAATTGCAGCACTAAATCATACCATTTCTACACTAATTATATACTATGAAATTAACTTTGAAACAAATGATAGCGATATTAATTTTATTTTATTACAACGACGTTTCGATTCTCCTTGCTTCTTGCCACAACAGTCCCCCTAACTTTAATCATCTTCCTACGGCCCTGAAGTCGTTTATTATTAGCACGCGGATAAAGATCAGGACTTATCAATTGAAATTTACGCAATAATAAATATACGTGGTAAAACCAAGATACATGTTGACATATAGTTCACAACTTGGATAACAAGGGAATGCTGCCTCAAACAGCGCTGTATAAAAAATAGACCAGACTGACTTACTTTCGGGCATTGTGCCCGTGCCACTGTTGTTTCTGTTGCTGTTGTTGGTGATGGTGCTAGATTTGAAAAAAAAATAGAAATCACAAAGTACTGTAAAAATGACAAGCAAGAAAGAATTTAGAAACCAAACAACAAGAAAATGAAAAATATATAAATAAAAATAGAAATTTGACGATGTGCGAGATGAAGACGATGGATTGTCCAGAGCATGCTGAACACCATGACCGTTACTGGGTTGGATCATTTGTTGGCCGAAAGGATTGTTGTGATCTTCACAACCACGCAAACAAGACCGCACCAACCCTAGTGTCGATTACCCCATATAAGCCAAATACGCAAATTTACGCAAATTGTGCATATAGAAATAGATGCAACCATCATCAAATTTCTTCTCGTATCTCACAACGTATTCTTTGATCTTAAAGGAAAAAAGAGAAAATGTAAGAAGTGGCTCTTATTGAATGGACCGCAGTTTACAATAGTATAGGGAAAACAGTTTACAATTGATAAAACTGTCCAACCTCGTTCCCAGGGTCTCTCCGTCTGTCATCTGGGAGAGACCCTGGCTGCGGCTGGTCACGTGCCTCCCAGATTCTGGGAGGTAAATTTAATTGTAACTGTGAGAGGGGTGGGAAAGGAGCGTGTTTGTAGCGTTTTAAAATTGCAACTGTGGGTGATGAAATGTACTGTAAATTTGCAACAAGAAATCGTAAAGAGAACTCTTAAATTAATATTTATATCGTGACGTTCTACTCTATAATCTGGTGTCGAGTTACAATTCAAGCAAGTTGGATCAGATTTCATTTAATATAGACTTGCCAAAGAAATCACGCTTGCGGCGGCTTGCCGCTTGTGCAGCGTGGCAATATTAAACCTACAGGAAAATATGTATCTCCAGACCGAACAGTGTGGTTGTTATTTATTTAGTATTAAAGTCTATCCTGATACTCGGACCAAAAGAATTTATTTATTGATGAGATGTGGAATTGCAACGAAATAGCGAGATCTTTTGATTTCCGAAATATCAAATATCGCCAACTGTATCCAGATTGTTGATCTATATAAAGACCTTATCAAAAAAAAACTTAAAGCCCTTTGCATTGCTGAAACCAACGATCATGGACGTGGTATATGTCAAAGTATAGCTGTCTGTTGAAAATCTACGGTATTAAAATTAAAATCATACACCAAAGATAAGTCAAACGACAAATTATATGTCACTATATATTATACATGTCTTTCAAATATGAGCACTGTTTAGTAGTGTTCACCACCTTTATAAATTTTGTAAACAGCTTTCGTTAATTTGACATGAATAAGCTTTTATTTTTTGCTTATATGCATTCTTAATAATACAAGTGAGATTTAAATTTTTGCTTTGTGAAATAGAATACCGTTATTTTTTAATGGACAGCTTGCATCGTCTATATCATATCCAGGATTGCTTGTGTGCAAACGCATTATTCACTATATGGCACTATCAAATAAATATATTAAAAGTAGCAAATGATTAATGAATTAGAGATAAACAGGTCATTCACAATAAAAACTTTAAAAATGTTAGTAGAAGTAGAAAACTCGAAAATTTATGTCTGTTCGTATGACGCCAATGACTGTCTGTGCGCATCTGACACTGTAAATTTGTGATATAGATTATAGTATGTTGGCACAATATAATGATTAATAGAGACCAACAAAAAGGCTAAATCTTACTATAATTACCGAATACGAATTATGTACTAAATCCATGTAAATCAATGACTGAAATTTCCTCTATGCTTATGGACATTTCTCTGTTCAGCTATTTATATCAAATGTTTACATTTGCTAATATTGGGCCAGTCCTAGACAATACTGTTTCTTTTAAAAATCTTATAAACAAGACGCGTAGACGTAGTAACAAATGAATCGGTGCCAAGCGTATCAACGTTTACAAGAAAGGACGAATGTAATGGCGTATTTTAAAAACATTACAATAAACGTTTGTTACTAAACAGCGCTCGAGTGTGAAGAGAGCATGCATTGAGTAACAACACGAGACTCGAGCACTGCGAGTAACGATTTGCTTGGTTTCTTTGATTTGACTGTAAGTAAGAATGTAAGAATGTTCTTGTAAATTCAAAGCAAAGAAAATAAACAAAAATTAGCAAGTATTTTGAATGTAATAATTCGCAAAATTTATGTTTTTAACGAATATCCAACTGGAAGCATGTTATGTAATTTGATACTTTCCCCACACCCCCTCGGGCGCTAAATTTTTGATGAGGCACGTGACCAGCCGCAGCCAGGGTCTTTCCCAAAGAAAGATCCTGGGTACGAGGTTGAAAACTGTCCAGCATAAAGTTATTTAGTTCAGAATATATATATATAATTTTTGAAATTAAGGATATATATATATATATATATATATATATATATATATTATATTATATTATATTATATTATATTATATTATATTGAGAATTTGGACCCAAACAACAGGGTAAACAAGCATTGTCTGCAAATAATATGCATGCAGATTTTGATCATGCATGCACATTTTTTTCTATTTTTTTAAAAATATTTTGTTTTTTTTATTGTTAACAATTACTTAATAACAAAACGGATAGTTCAGAACATATAGTGGTTTATACACTACCTTGACGCTGCTTTCGCTTTAGCCGACGTCGTGCGTTAACAAAATATATAATGATATATAGGATTATATAAATATATATAGGATTATATAATTATACAGGACGTTCTACACTTACAAACTTACCGATGTTTATGAACGGGATAACATTGTGTCAATCAAAGAACAAAAATCTCGATACTTCTCCTTTCTCCATTTTTCATCCACCATTTGTTAAGACAAATTCTGTAGTTACGTCTTTTTCAGAAAATTGATTGACCGCTTCCACGCACTTTTCACGTATATGAATAGTAATCGAGAGTTAAGGGTTAAGATATTTTGAACCACATCGCTACTCAGAAGGGGGGTGTAGATACTGAATGGAATGGCCCTGAGGAGTCTTGTTCATATAGTTTATATGGTTGATTTCAGTCTGAAATGTTGACAAACTACTAAATCTGTAATAATTGTAGGAACACGAATAAAAAAGATGTATACATACGATGCAAATGCAACGATTGTCGATAAAATAATGAACATTTCTAAATATTCGTATACATGGCATTTTATGAACAACAACATTTTGACGCATGAACAATTTTCGGTCGTGTTATACTGTTCGTAATAAGATAATAGTTTATTAATAACATTTTGTCCATTTTATCTTCTCATGCATGGCGCAAAAAAATTTATTATTAAAATTTTCATATCAAATATAAAGAGAATTTCGGCCCTTCGTCTCTTATTTTTCAGGTAGTTGCATCCCTATCAACGAAAGCTTGTTCATATTATTGCATGTTGTTGATTGTGTCTCCATGCAATGGTATGCTTGTTGGCAATCCATGGCGTCGTTAAGATCATAAGCCGTGAATAACTAAATATTTAACAATTATTCGCCGGAGGCTCGGTGATTATCTGGGAATATTCGCCGAGACAAGTCCAGGTGAATATTCCCCGATAATCGCCGAGCCTGAGGCGAATAATTGTTGTAGTATTTTTTACACAAGCTTTTGTGCTTTTTGAGACTAAATTTATTTTAATTTCGCTTATTTCTTTGTCAGTAAATTTACACAAAACTGGTATAGCCACCATTTTGAAAATTTCTGTTTTGTTACATTCACCTGTAGGTGAATATAACAGCTTCTTACGTCAACTTTAACCAACCAACGTGTAGGATTTGTTATGTTCACTTGTGCAAAAAAATACTAAATTTACATATTCCGCAAAAACGTGGCCAATGAATATATGTTGTGCCAAAACATGAAAGAACGGTGAATTTCATGCAACTGGATTCTGCAACCTTTCCAAATATATATAATAAAACGTTTTCAGCTGATAAAACAGTTTTCACGAAATTTTTCCGCTGAATAAAAACTTTACACCCTTTCCGGAATCATTTTACAATTGTTTGATGTGAAATCTTTTTTAGTATATTTATCGCCAATGTACTGTATTGAAAAGGTGAATGTCGTAAACCGGATTTACGTACCTTTTGCACATAGATATTCTATATACACTATAGATAGCGCATCTCTTTTAGTAAAATTGAAGCCAAGAATATTCCAGCGGTTACCGCCATTTGAATAGATGGCGGCCATGTTGGTCGTTCCATTTGTTAAAGGTTATGTAAAGTCCGTAATGTAAACAAACGCTTTGGAATATGTTGATGCGCAGAATATATGCGCAGAACGGACTTTACAGCACCTTTAATAAACGCTTTTAAAAAAACAAGAATAACTTTAATCATTTGAATAGTTTAAAAACGTATTTGGAATAGGGTTAACTTGATGTTTAAGTTCCCTGTTTAAAAAAAAATAGAAAACATACGCGAATCTTCTCATTTCATGGGAATGACCTGAGACTGCAATCACGGCTTCAATTTTTGAATTGCAGAATAATTAGATGCACTATCTAGTGTTTATAAGATATCTATGCTTTTGCACCTCCATTTCAATTATTTTTTGTGTAATACGTTTTTAATTTAAATTTATTTTTTTCAATGATCTTTTTTTAAATATATTATAATTAATGTTAGTCTTCTATGTTTGTAAACGTACTGTATTGAAAAGGTGCATGTTGTAAGCAGTATTTACATACTAACTTTTTGCACCGTCCATTTCAATCTTCTTTGAACAGTACGTTGTTTGTCTTTATACTTAAAGGATTAGTGTCAGGGTTGTGCATTGCTGGCTTTTACTGTTTACATTACTCAAATACAACAAATAGCGATAAAAATACCTTGTTTGCTACATTTCTGATAAAAATCACACAAAAAGACCAAGTATTATAAAAGATAGTTTAAATATATGACGGATTGTAAACTCTTTCCAGTTCATCTAGTCTATTCGTCCCGAAAAATGGCCGCCAGCAGAAGTTTGAGCCCGCGAATTCCCGGTGTGACACTAATCCTTTAAATTGCATTCTTCTAATTAATATATTTCATAATTAATGTTGGTCTTCTATGTGTGTAAACGTACTGTATTGAAAAGGTGCATGTTGTATAAGCAGTATTTATATACTAGCTTTTTGCACCGTCCATTTCAATCTTCTTTGAACAATACGTTGTTTTGTCTTTATACTTAAATGAATTCTTCTAATTAATATATTTTATAATTAATGCTGGTCTTCTATATGTGTGTAAACGTACTGTATTGAAAAGGTGCATGTTGTATAAGCAGTATTTACATACTAGCTTTTTGCACCGTCCATTTCAATCTTCTTTGAACAGTACGTTGTTTGAACTACTTTCCTGCCCAAGGGAACCGTCATTACTTGCTACAATCCACAGTCTATTCCAAGAGTGCACAGTTTAAAGAATCAGTTTGATCCTGGAGGACATTGACATCTCATTCCATAGATACTCGTTCAAGGACCTCGAGGGATTCGGCAGATGGAGATTTCGTGTGTGAATTTTATACATTTATTGACCTAACCAGGAACAATTGCAAACATTATCTGGGACAAACACATTTGTCCCTGTTTAATTTAACTTTTTATTGCCGTTTTCAGGCAATGTGCATGAAACTACTTGTATGTGAATTTATTCATGCACTTGATATAATCTTCAAATATATACTACTACAATTGGGTGCCTTTTGTTATTTTTGCTGCAGAATACTTCCATTTTGTGAAAAAATGCAATGTATCTTGATAAACCGAATATGACATCAAATCAGGAATTTTATGCGCTAAGAACAAAAATCTAATTCGCAATTCCTGGTTTGAATGTCATATCTGGCAACTTTGAGGCCTGATAATCCTGTGAAGAGGGAATATTTTCATTTAAAGATTTATTGCATTTCTTCATAAAATATACCAATGATTACAAATAATAAATTACACAAATCACGACATATATGCACTTTGAAACACATTAGTTGATTATTTTTATATATTGGCGAACTTTTTAATCTAATCCTTTCTGTTCATCATAAACCTAGAAAACTTTGTTATAATTGGGATTTCGTTAAAGTATGGGTTTACGGGTTAGGACTTACGTAGGTTTAGGGGAGGGGGTGAAGGGTTAGAACTGTTAGAGCTATTTAATTTCTGCAAATAAAATTAGTTTAGGTTTCCTCCTGCAGGAACACTGGATCAATAAGAGATGATCATTACTGAACCTCCAGGAATAACAGTTTAGAACTTATAGGGCTATCCAGTATAAATAATAGTTTAGAATTCTTCCTGTAGTAATACCGGATGATTATTAAGGGATGATACTTACTGGATCTTTATTGAGAACAATAGAATTGGTAGAGCTATCTTATGGTAAGTAAAGTTCGACGTGGGTCATTATGCAGCCTTGGTAATCGCCCTCAAAAAAATGACATCCTCTGTTGTATGTTAATTGTGAACTTGTCAAGTTTTTGAACCTTGTTCCAACTAATAAATTTGTATTTTTTTTCTAGTGTTCGTGTTTTCATTAGTCTTGTGAATCACCTAGTCCCAGTCTTTTCATGTGAAAAAGTGGTGAATATTAAAAAAATAATGAAAATAGAAGGCCAGAAAGCCTAGGTTGCCTAGGTCTAATTCAGGTCAATTCTGGTCTAATTAAACCTCGTTATATCCGCGACGACAAAGCCAAGAGCCTGGGTACGAGGTTGCGACAAAGCGAGTAATTTCCCGCGCTTGCGTCTCGGCCAATCAGGTGCAAGTAATTTTGCCTGAATAATAGACACACCTTCGGTACCTCCCTCAGTGTGAGTGCTGTAACCTAGCAACAAGCGAACAAGATGAACTTTGATAGTTTTGTAAAACTTTTGTTACTGGAATTAAACTTTAAAAATGATAAAGAAATGAGGACATTTGTAAAGAATAAGAGACAACACAAGTAAGTTTAAACACATTGTAAGTTTTAGGAGTGATTTGAAAGAGTTTGGTGCAGTTTTGTGCGTTTAAAATTTGCAAATACGATAGGCGAATTTACGTTTGTTTTCTCTTAGTCTGACCTATAAACGCTCGGTTTAAATTCGCTTTTATTGATATTTTGCCTGCTACTATTCTTTGTAATTCTTTGATAGTTTACTGTACACATTGTTTCGCTTTTATGTGCAAAAAATAGGCACTCGTGAGCAGTGTTAAAAAAATTTTAAATCATGACATGTAATTTTTTTGCTTTTGCTCATTTGCCATATCACATTTTTCTTAAATTTGATTGGCTGTTTGAATCCTATGATTAAATGTGATTGGTTGGCTGAAGCACAGAATAGGAAGTTATAGCAGAAGCGTAACTCTAGTCATTTCTTTTATTGTTTGATGTCCACGGAAATTTTAACTTGCTCACGTCATCCTGGCTAGTACAACCGGAAGTTTTTATCAGGTTTTGGTAGGTACAAAGTGCCGGTTGTACTAGCCAGGATGGCGTGATTGATGACGAATCGCTTGTAAAAATGCGGACAAATACTTGCTTGAGTTACACTTCTGCTATACCTTCCTATTCTGTGGCTGAAGTCAGCACACTAATGTGATTGGTTGAAAGAAGGTGCGATTTAAGCACAAATTGCACTGCTGGGAGTGAGATAAGAGGCATTGACAATTTTAATGACTATTAGTATAATTACATTGGTGATTATTGAAAATTCTCCACTCTCATTGGTAGTTATTTTTATGCAATAATCACCTGTTAAGCGATTTTCAATGACTAAAACAATTATTCACCTCAGGCTCTGTGATTATCGTGAATAAAAACCTCGACTTCATCTCGGTTTTTATTCACCGATAATCGCCTCGCCTTCGGCGAATAATTGTTAAATAATGACTAATAATTGGCCGAGCATGAGGTTAGTACTGTGAAATATTAGACCGAGGTTTTTTTAGAATGCAAAAACAGAGGTCTGATACTTCACAGTACAGACTAAACAAGCGAGGTCAATAATCAGTTTATTATATGGCTGACCTGAGAGCATATGCTTTTCATGCGAATTAAATCTGCTATCGTCAGTTTCTTTGGCTAACAATATACGGTAGGCATGCATGTTCAATCAAAAACAATTTGGTTGTTTGAAATTTTTATCTGTAAATTCTAATGACACACAATTGGAAAATTAAAAAACAAAAAAAAATTTCTGTTGGCAAAGCAAAAATTTCCTGCCAGATAAACGACATCCGATACGAAAAATCTGGCCCATGGTCCAGATATGGGTTTGCTTGTCAACCAATCAGAATAGAGAATTTTGAAAAGCCATATAATAATGAAAATTATCTGTGGGAATGCCTCCCATAAGTGCACTGGCTGGGACTATGGCATCAGTATTTTGATGACAAATTACAATTTGCCTCAATTTCAAGTCTTGTCCGCCAGCTTTAACCCATTGAGTGGCATTGCACCCTACTTTATTATTTTATTTTGTCTAACACCAGACGATTTAACTCGTCAAGGGGAGAGCGCTGGCACTTAATGGTTAACTGCCCTATCTGCCCATGTGTCTATTTAAGACACCAAGATAATTTTGTACTAATACACAGCTCAAACAGGATGGTTATGCCTTTGAATCTCATTGCCATTCAACCTAATTCAAAACGTTAATCATGCCAGTAACTATGGTTCTAGCCCGCGTGCAGGCCCAAGAGAAGAATACCTTGGGCCTGCACGCGGGCTACTATGGTTCACAACCATGCGTCAAGTGCGGGGCCACCAAAAGTATTAAACAAAACGTATTATAGAATTTATTTAGTTATTAAATTACTATAGAAAAATTAAATTGTAAGGTCAACATCATGAAGCTATGATATTTATGTGTCCAAGACTCAAAATTATTATGTGAACCATTATGTTATAGTTACTAACTTACTGTAGTACGGTACTTAATGTATGTGTTTCTAAAGTCTGGTTCACACAGTCAAAGTTGCTGTGATCATAGAAGAGGTTTTGCAATTTCTCTGAAACGGTGCTTAACACTAAGTCAGTTCCCACAAACATAGCTTACAATTCCTCAGACATACATGAATTCTTCCTACACGGCTAAAAATGCACAGGTTGTTCCAAGTTGATAATCGACAGGCATGAACAATGTTGTGCTGCCAACTATGAACAGGTTGTCAACCATGTTGTTCCAAGTTGTTACAGTTGAACAATGCTGTAACAACATGTTGACAATACTGTTCATAGTGGGCCGCACAACCTTGTTCATGCCTGTTGATATCAACCTGGAACAAGTTGTTGATTTTCTCAATTTTTACGTGTGTGTCTGTGACCACAGAAACTTTGATAGCATAAACGAGGCTCGAAAGTTCAATTATTGTGCGTACCATCACGTTATATAGTTATTATAGCAGTACTTCAAGTGTTTCTAATGTAAAAGACAGTCACACCCTTATCCAATGTTGATTGTGATAATCTCCACATGTTTCTAAGGTTAAACAATTATGAAACTTTATTCCTTCCAAACTGGTTGTAAGAATTCATTCGCCTCTTTTATACTCTTGTACAAGATATTGATCTGCTTCTTCACTTCTGACCAGTCCACTGGAGTCTGAGAAACTGAATCAGAAATTCCAGGAAAACTAGAGCTACCGTAACTATTCGCAATTGAAGGTGCGAACACGATATTCCTCTCAAAAGGACGCCCTGGCAAGCCGTAGGGATTGATGAAGATTTTTTCCAAATTCATCATTTGGTTATTGAGAATGCGTAGCTTCGAGAAATCTGTGGATTTCAGAGATTTTTTACGACTTTCAAATTCATGTGTTGTTTTATTGAATTCTTGGATCGCTTTGTCGATGTGATCAATGGAAACAGTGACATTCAATTTTGACCAGACATTCTTACGTAGTTTTTCCATGGAAACCAGAAGAGCGTCGCTATAGCTTGTGACGTCAATAGGGAAGATGTCAGAATCAGACATGCGCAGTAGTAGTCTGGCAGTCAGCTTACAAACGGAGAGGTGTATGAGGAAACTGGGATCAACAAACTTTTCGACCCAGTTAAATGTGTCATGTATTGAGTGGTAAACGGGGTATGTGGTGACATTTTGGTCCTTGAAGGAGTAGTGGTAGGCCACACTTGGAACACCTAGGGATGGATATTGATATTAAAGCAGTTGGAGACTAGGGTCCATATTTCAATAGCTAGCTTTCACTAGGCACTATCATAATGGTGGTCAACCTGCACGCAGTTATCAGAATGAGGAAATTATGTTAATTTTTTTTCATTACAAGTAGTCATCTGTAGAATGTCAACATGTCAAGTTGACAATCATCTACTGTTCTGGAACGCTTATTCAAAGCTAGCTATCGACCATGTTTAAACTTAGTGGCTAGGACTTACCAAGAAATTGATAAAAAGGAACAAAGTCAGAGCCAGATCCTAGAGAACCAAACTTGGGATATTTCTCTCCTTTCTTCCATCTTTGAAACAACGTCAGTTCATCTTTCTTAGATTCATCCCTGGGGTCCATCACTTGCTGTGTCTCGTCAAATACGAGTTCTTTGAACAATGGACTTCCTACATTTCAATGTTTAAATTATGAAAGATTTATCTAAAGGCCTGTACTCTACAATGGTATACACTGCCAAGTTTCTGTGATCACACAGTAGGAATTTTCCATAGATAAATTCTACGTTACATTCGAGTTCACGCCTGGTATCGGGC